TGCCCTCGGAAATTTAAAAGTTCAATGTCGTATTCTCTCAATTGCGTCTTGTGAACTATATTTTAAGAAAGTTAACAAAGTGCCCTTCTGTTGTTTGAAATGAATAGACAGTTAATTCCCTAACTCAACAAATCAATTGAATACAAAACACAACGGTTCAATGAATACGTTGACAGATTGATTTAAATGTATTTTCGTTACATTACGGAAGATGTATGTTCTTTTGAGATTAAAAGGAGTTCGTATTTTGTACGTGTTTGTGTTATTTTCGATTATAAATACTTTCTTTTAATACAGTAAGGCAGTTATTATTTGTTTTTTTTTCTTCTTAATTATCGTATCAGAGATAAATATAATTCATACTAATAACGTAAACATATTGATATGAAAAAAATCATTAAGTAAGCTCGCCTCTCATGGTAACGGCGATAATCAATGGTAAAAATCATCTAAGCATGTAAGTCATGCTATTCACAATTTATACATATTTATGTTGAACATCTAGTACAACATGTACAAGTTGGTAGATTTGTAATAACATTGAATGCTGATGTTCTTTTATGTATATTTGTAATAATAGTAAATGCATATTTTAAAGATTCACAGTTAGTAGGAAAATGTTTGTTTCGTTGTTGTTCTATTAGTTGATGTGTTTTCCTCGGTTTTAGTTTGTAACCCGGATTTGTTTTCTCTCAATCGATTTATGACTTTTGAACAGCGGTATACTACTGTTGCCTTTATTTGTTTTTGTTATAATATTAAATGCAAATATGTATGTTAAACATCTAGAAGTTATATTTATACTAATATTAATCGCAATATCAATATTGATTATCAAGTAAATATATCTGTAGTACTATCGGCGAGTATCAAGGGAGGAATCAATCGACAAAAAAGTGGGACTATATTCAACAAATACACACAAGGTTATTTTTATATCCTTTCATTTAAATTATAATAAATTTATTTACAATAACTGTATATTTAAAAAAAAATACTCTGTATCATATGTTCAACGGTAGACATAGTTGTCACTAACCTAGACTTGTTTGTATGATATACTTCTTTCAAGTGACTTTATAATGAATTGAATCATTATCCCATACGGTATGTAAAAATTGTTGAGTGATATTGCGGACAAATAAAAAGGCATTGTGTATGATAAAAATAATATAACATCTACAAAGGCTTAAAACACATGTCTTACGTCTATCTCTATATTCGCCTTACGTGACAAGGTAACACTACGACTACTAGTGTTATATTTTGATTTGGCGGATGTGGTTGAGAAGTCTAGATCGCTGGACATGGCGCTAAGCAAGTGGTGCTGTAGTGTATCAAAGGTGTGATTTCAAACCTCGTTCAGGTACAAAAATTTGTCAGCATAAAATATACTTCGACCACTGTTGGGTTTTAATTTTCAGACTACCAGAAATAGTCAACTTCCACATACAGATATGCAGGATTCATGTAGTTAAGACCGTTTGATGATTATAAGCATTGTGAATAGGTATCATAACAATTGGGTGAGGAATACTTATGCGTGAGAACGGAAACGAAAAATTCAGCAAATGTTATGCTTATAACGTGGCATAATTCTACAACAGTAAAAATGACGCCATCCAATTTCGAACTTGGTCTGTGTTTTGTGGTAATACTCATTGTGAATAAGTTTCATAACATTTGTATGAGGCAAAATAAAGTTAGAGAACGAAAACCGATTTTTTTGTGGACGTACGCGACGGACGGACGGACGGGACGAACGGGACACTTTGGACAGACGGGACACACTGGACAGACGGACAGACGGACAGACGGACGGAACGGACTAGGGTAAAACTGTATGCCTTTCCTTTACAGCGGGTATATATAAGACAAAAGGTGTAGCTAAAAGCTTGACAAAGCATTAGGGAAATATATTCGTTTAAATGTCTTAATTAATTATTATGCACTTTTAAGTTGACAGAAAGATCATATCGATTATAGCTTTTTTTGTATTAACTAAAAAGAGTTCTATCATTTAAATACAAAGTTCCATGTATACATGTTAAATGCATTTGGGGCCTTAAATATGTGTGTTTAAACGATTTGCAAGATCAACAATAATTTTGAATATTTTTAGTTGGGCAATTCTTTTTTAATAACTTGTAACACCATTAACACCAACATATCACATAGAAGTTAATGAAAAAAAAAATGTTCAGACCCTAACATGGATATGACTAGAAAAATCAGAAAAGCATGATGTAAACAGGACGTACGACAAAAGAGGCGACAGAAAAGAAAGGAACATTCAAACTAATAAGTGGAAACTAGACTGACAACGAAAGAAAAGACTAAAGGGCAAACAAATCATGCAAAAAAAGAAAACTATTGACTTAGCAATACGAACCCCATCAAAAATACAGAGTTGATCTCAGGTGGACCGGTAGGGTGAGTGCATCCTGCTCTGCATGTGGCACCCGTCTTGTTGCTCTTGTTGCTCATGTTAGAACTAGTCAAACAATAAGTCTAATGCGTAAGTCACATTTGGGGAAAAGAGAAGGGATTGTAGTAAAGACAATTGGAACATATTCGTCGTCAGCTGTGAAAAGGTCAACCAACTCGTTATGACGTGCATAAAATTTTAAAATGGTTGATTTCAACTTCATTACTTGGAACTCTTGGTTTGATAGCTTCCTTGTGAGCAGCAACTAATCTCTATCAAAGAAAAGGAACTATACGCCCTGGAATATCAACTGGGAAATATATTCTCCATAAGTAGGCGCTGCTTAAATGTTGATTCATATACAGTTTTTTTCTCAACCTACCCTTATTTTCAATTTAAGAACTAGTCGTGATATTAGGAGTCTTAACTGTAAATGTTGTATCTTTCATTTGAAGTTCGATCGGATAGATGGCATCAACTCAATCACCAAACTTTGATTTATTTTTGAGAGGACATCATCTGAAGTTAAAGGATAATGCTAGCTTCTTTCTATTATTCACAAGAAACTGTTGCATGCAGCCTGCCTCATATGAATAAAGGAACAAGTCGACAAGAAGAGAAGCACAGTTGGTTCCCATGGTAATACCAATTTATTTGGAAAATTTACTTCCTCGCAAACGTTACAAATATGATGTCACGAAATCAAGCATCTTCTTCATGATGTCAGTTTCAGAGACTTTTTGTTGGACACAAAGTGACTTTTTACAAAGGTTGATTTGTCCTGCATGAAGACAAGATACTTGTTCATTCTATTTTTACGACCAACTCTTTCAATTTGTCTTTTAGTTTAAAATGGGGAATACTAGTATAAAGAGTAGAAAGGAGAATATTGAAATACTACTGCAAGATGAAAGAGTTTTAGATTGTATGCACTCTTACAAACGACCTTCGTTATATATATGTATCTTATACAGTAAGATATATCCAGTACATTATCTTTGGTTGAAATTCCAAAGAAACATAGAACAAACCTATGATTGTCTAGAATTTCTACCTCGGTAAATGTCCTAGTGGTAAATGTTGAGTTTCCAAGTACATTGTCAGCAACTAATTCGTTTATGAAGCAGTTTATGTGATTTACACATAAAACGACGTTGTTCGGGGCTTTAACTGCGGGGACAACAGCACACATGTCATTGAGATAGGACAGGTAATTGCAACATTTTGGGTCTGTAAATATTAACGTCGCATGTGTTTTCATAGATCCCATATTTTTGTTTTATACAGATTTGTATCGACGACCTCATAGCCGTTATCCATCCGAAAAGTATCTGCGTCTTCTTTTTCGTGTTATCAAATTGCATGGTATGATCCTCGACCGATTCATCTGAATTCGGACAATATGTTTACAATTGATAAGAAAAGGATCACGATATTTTGCAGAGAAGAGTTATTAACAATGTTTAGTTCACCAGTAATAACATGGCCAGTCGAAATATATCTTGTATATTTGAATTGGGAACTAGCATACGTGCAATCGGGGAGATCAATATTGAGATCATGTAGCGCGAGCTTGTAATTGGACATCAATATTCAGATATATTTACTGCGGAAAATTCAGTACTGTTCAAACAATAAGCCTTCAGTCAATCTAATTCTGTTCAGTAGATTTTTAGACAATGCAATAAACTGCTGATATGAACAGATCTTACAATGCATTCACCATGTTAACCAGTGCAAGTCATCAATTGTAAATATTTTGATTGCCATGTTTGTATTTCGTTTTGTTTTGTTGCGTCACAAGCCGTTGGTTTTCTCGTTTTAAAAGTTCCACATTTTGTAATTCTAGGCACCTTTATTGCACAGTTCATATTATGATTACTGTTAAAGCTGTAAAGGTGCTTACATCTCAGAAAGTAACATCTTTAAGTAATAATGATAGATATGTATGTACGAGACGGACACACACATATCAATATTGAGGTTATCTAATTAACTTTAAATTCCAATATACTCAACACATTATCTTGACCTACCACAATAGCACCTTGCCACCAAGAAAAGAATAAGTATTGATTAATCATAACATAAAAATGTCTTTCTGCGATGATCGACTTGGCATTGACTTCAATTTCATGTTTTACGTTTTGAGTCAGTCTGTTTCTCAGTTTCAATTAGCAGTAGCTAAAAAGACTCATTATAGATACCAGGCTTGTAGTTTTGTACGCACGTTATAAAAAGTCCCAACCTTTTAAAATGTGAAAAAAAACAATTTAACGTTAATACAGTGCAGTTAATGTTAAACGATATGTAAAATGAACAAAAAAGGACGGAAAAAACGGAAAAAACAACAGCGAATAACGAAAACAAAATAAACCAGTTAAATTACCAAACAATAAAACTAAACACAAATTGACATGAAAGCAATTCACCAAACTCGTTTTAGCAAACAAAAGTTCTGAAGAAGAGATTTGGAAGCCCAGACACGATATATATATCAAATATGTATAATATGATAATTGTTGGGATTGAAATTATAGCTTGTGTATGTATTATTATATTTGCAGTTCTTGTTTAATATTAGGAAGGACAGAATATATCTACCAAAGATAAATGTTTAAACGAAAAGAAATCAATGTTATATTAAACATAACAGAATGAACGCGCAAGCTACAATTAGTCCATTAAAACTGATAACAACACCTGGTTTACAGATACAAGACGATCAGAATAAAGTTCCAATGATTACAGGTACCCAATAGATTTTGAACAACACGTGCAATCTTATTGTTAAGCATGCAGACCTATTTGCATTATGATAATTGATTTGCATTGCAAATAAAACATGCAATTCTGCATGAGAAAGAGTTTATCTTATATGAGTATTCCTTGTATCGGAACGACACAAAGCACTGGATTTTTAAAGTGCTAGTAAACAAGAAAATAATGAATGGAAAGACTTGTATCCTCGCTTAACACATTCTGATCAGTCTTTCCTGTTTAATCGACAGTGCCGCATGTTTAAGAGAAAAAAATAGCATATAACGATTTTAATTGTTGCGTTTGATCTAGCTTGGCATCTTAATCACGATCACAAGAAATTGGGTAAGGAAGCAATGAGTTGGTTTACTTAGTCCAAAATGTATGGTTGCAAACGTGTGCATAGCTTTAACATGTCAATTTATAACTGCTTACAAAACATTTTGAATAATTCCAACTTTAAATCAGTCAAGGATACAGTTGATGCAATTATTGTTTATATTTTTGAAGATTTAGATTATAATTACCTGCAAGTTTACGTAAAATCGTTCCATTTAGATTGTGTGATATTTCCATAATCTCTCCATACAAGTAACTAGATATCGTTACTAGTATTTGTTTTACCAATCATATAATATTAAAGTTTTTGGAGGGTAAATAACCTACCAGGCTCATTCAAAGCAAGTACGCTGCCACGTAACCATTAAGGCGATCAATTTCATATTTGTTAATGTAGAATGGTAAACATATTATATTTTTTGTGTGCCCTAGTTTGCTTTACTTTGATAAGATACCAGTCTATTATACCAATAAGTTGTTCTTTTTTAAAAAAGATATTACAAGGACAAGTACGATTGTTTGTAATGGAAGGCCAGAGGATAGTATAAATATATACAAGTCTAAATTGAAAACAACGTTCAAACCTATAATTGCGTTGGATAAAAACCGCAATTTTTATATGTGTGCATGCAAAACAAATTTCTTGGTAGAAGGGTCTAAATACAGCACAAAGAACATTTTCCAAAAGACCATAACAGTAAAAAAGTATATTTTAACAAAACGCATTTGACTAACAGGTGGAACAACTGATGTTCTTAAACCCTGCTGACTGCCATTGTCGATTGCCAAATAAACGGACCACCAGATGTAACAAAATGGATCTTATTATTAATTTATTACCAAACAGAGTTCAATAAACTTGCGGAAAAGATGGAATACAGCAAACATGAGGTGCAAAAATGTGTACACCATATCCGGATTTCGACAATTAATGTCTCTTCAGTGATGTTAGGGATCGAAACGGTATTTGGAAGGCCATATAATTTACCTCAATTTAGGATAGAATCTTGAATCTTGAAAGAGTCGAAATAGGATGAACGGATCATATAAACCCGAAGGCAAATATAATACAAGCCCAAACGAAAAAATATAAACAAGTCTAAATTGAAAATAACGTTCAAACCTATAAGTGCGTTTGACAAAAACAGCAATTTTTATACGTGTACATGCAAAACAGATTTCTTGGTAGAGGGGTCTAAATACAGCACATATGTATATATATACGTTGTTTTCAATTCAGACTTTTATATATTTTTCGGTTGGGCTTGTATTATATTTGCCTTCGGGTTTATATGATCCGTTCATCCTATTTTGACTCAAGAGTCTATTCTACATTGAGGTAAATTATATGGCCTTCCAAATACCGTTTCGATTCCTAACATCACTGAAGAGACATTTATTGTCGAAATCCGGATATGGTGTACAAAAATCTTTGCACCTTTGTTTGCGGTATACCATCTTTGCCGCAAGTTTATTGTTTTCTGTTTGGTATTAAATTTATAATTAAGATTCATTTATTACACCTTGTGATACGTTTATTTGGCAATCGCCAATGGCAGTCAGCAGGGTTTAAGAACATTTGTTGTTCGACCTGTAAGTCAATTGCGTTTTGTTTAAATATACTTTTTTACTTTTTTGGTCTTTTGGAAAATGTTGTTTGTGCTGTATATGGACCCCTCTAACAAGAAATTTGTTTTGCATGCACACGTATAAAAATTGCGGTTTTTATCCAACGCAATCATAGGTTTGAACGTTGTTTTCAATTTAGACTTGTATATATATATATATATATATATATATATATTTACTATGATTCATTTAGATTTTGTCCATTTCATGTGCTCAACCTCTCATACATTGATTTAATTCCAGGTCCCCCAGGAGATTTGAATAACGAAAAGAAAAGGTGGCTGATTATTGGGATATGTCTGCATACGATTATTTCTCCTCTGCTGAGAAAATATGTGGATCCTATTATAATTAATTTGTACAAATCATTGGTATTTAGCGACTCCATTGATACACAGGATTATCATACATATCTAAAGAAATACCCGGGAACAAATAAATATTTTCTTAATTATGAATCAATAAACGACAACAGGAAAGTACCGAAGAAAAAGATTAACAACGCATGGAAAGGAGATTACCAGAGATATAATTATAAAGTAACAAGCCATGTGGATTTGTCAAAGTTGTTCCTAAAGCCTCATTTGGCTCATTACTCGGCAATTGATGAGTCATGTGACTCGTCTGCTCTGCTTAGCATGGTCATTAACATCAGTTCGTTTCCACAAACTGTGCAGACTGATGCTGACAAGGTAAACATTTTAATATATTTAGTATTATTTTCGAGATGACTTAATGAACTAGTAATAGATAAGCTGTGAGCTAATTGTTTTCAATATATTGTAATCAACATCAGTTACCGTTCCTCCGAGTGTACAGATTGATGCTGCTAAGGTATGAGTTTTCGAGATAGTTTAATAGTCGATTAATTGCATGACTCTTCGAGTCCTTTGATAGTACTTGCATCTGAACTAGATCCAAGGAGCATAACCATATAATCCATAGTATATATTTTAATATATCAAAATATGTGTAATGGTAATGGAAATTAACAAAAAATCTTTATTTAGAGAGAGTAACTTAGCAACACGACGGGTGCCACATGTGGAGCAGGATTTGCTTACCCTTCCGGAGCACCTGAGATCCCCCCCAGTTTTTGGTGGGGTCCGTGTTGCTAGGCTTTAGTTTTCTATGTTGTGTCATCTGTACTTTTATTTGTCTATTTGTCTTTTTATTTTTGGCCATGGCGTTGTCAGTTTGTTTTCGATCTATGAGTTTGACTGTCCCTCTGGTATCTTTCGTCCCGCTTTCATTTGGATTGCACCAATTTTTAATAAAGATCTCTAAATACAATAATAATTACATCAAAAATAAACAATACAAATTCAATAATAATGATAAATAAAGATGCAATTTAAATTCAATAAACAATTATTATATGGCATTACAGTACAAATATCATGGTAATTTTTAAAATACATATATTTGTAGTTATGTTTAAATTCTGATACTGTGTTTGATTTTTAATTGTATTAGGAAGAGCATTCCAAACTTTTGGTCCACTGTACGAGAAACTATAGACTTATACAACTCTGTATTTGGTTTTGGAATTATAATATTATCTGAAATGAAAATCTCGTATTGTATTTTTGGTTTCGGAAGCTGATAAAAGACTTGACAAATATTCTGGAGCTAAACCATTCTTTGCTTTATACATTAGTAATGATTTATGATAATGTATTCTTTGTGTAATCGGCACAATGTTACATTCGTATAATAATTCGCTTGAAGTTTGATGTAAGCATGTTCGTCTAAAATTATTCTTGCTGCCCTCTTTTGCAGTTTTAGTAAACTATCTAATAGAAAGTTGTTTCAGTTTCCCCATATTGAAAAACAATAATCTAAATGAGGAAAAAAGTAAGCGTTATAAAACAGTTCTCTAACTTTGTGATTTAAGTATTCTTTATCCTTTTTAGTCAACTTAAAGAAGAGTTGACTTTTTTATTATATGATCAATATGAGAAGACCAAGATAGAGATGCATCAATAAAAATACCTATAACCTTTTCACATGTACTTTCTTTGATTTGTTGTCCATTTATGGCAAGATTAATGTTTTCATCTGATGTAACAGAAAGCTTCTGTTTAGAGCTAATACATATAGCTTTCGTTTTAGATACATTTACAGCCATTTTATTGTCATCACACCAGCAAAATATATCTTGTAAAACCGTATTAAGTTTTTGACTGATGCAACTTTTGTCCAATGACTGATATGGTGATATCATCAGCAAATAAATCGGTGGTATGATTAGGATTAGATAAAGGAAGGCCATTTATAAAAATTAAAAACAACACAGATCCTAAAACGGAATTCCTGGCATCCTTTATGAAACTGACTAACTATTTTGCAATTGTTTAGATACGAGTGGACATACGCAATTCCTGGGCGCATTGTGACTTTAGAAATTGGACTAGAGAAAAATATAGAAATTGTTTCCATATAATGGGCCAATTCGTCAAGGATCTTAGTCTGAGTGACACCGAAAGGGCAAGAATCTTGGGAGAACTCAAAACATGGGTAACAAACGGTATCTAATAATTATAATATAGTGTTTGCAAAATTTATTTTTTGTCGAGGGCTTCGACATGTGGAAGCGGAAGCGAGGAATAGCGATGCTGCATTCCTTCGTCGGCGTTGTCATTTGTAGTCATTTTTGTTTTTGTATTTTACTGATAAATGAACCTTGTTAAACGTTTTATTTTTTTATCTTGTATGCAGTATACATACAAATCACTCTAAGGTTAAGTTTCTTAGTAATTAATAACTTTTCAAACTGTAAGGACTTTAATGAAAATGAACAGAAGATCTGGGTCGATAACGCTGCTGATGGAATGCTAGTCACCGAGAGTATAATTAGATCAGTTTTCTTGCTTCGATAAAGAAATTATAACATAAACTTATGTGAAATTTCCCATTTAGAAATTAAGAAATCATTTAGAAACTAGGGTTCAAACTCCCCACGCAATGTGTACCTCAGATGAACTGGTTTTTTTGTCATACACTGAACGCATCAATCGCATGGGGAGGCATATCGTTCCATGTCACCCTTTACGATGTATTTTGAATAAGAAGTTTGATATCGTGCAAGTTTAAACCACCTTCCCATTACACTATAGCTGGACAGATTCATCGCAACCATCAGTGATGTTCAAAAACAGGGTCAAAACTATATTTTGATCAATATAATAGACACAATTCACGACATAAAAAATACAAATTATATTTCTGAGATCCAACTCACGCATGACACATACTATATAAATGACACAGCGTTGGTCATCAAAAACCTACACAACCTAAAATGTCTCATACAACACAGAATATTTTGCTATGATCCATATCAATCACAACAACATTGATGTGATCCATATCACAGACAACACAACGTATACTTCAAAAACATCAATCATAGGAACTTACATCAAACAATATGTTAGCAACCGTCATTCAACATGTTGTTCAACACACTAAACAAATAGTTAGTTATTAGTATATTTTTGCAACAGGTCTTCTTAAGCCTTACCTGAATATCAAATATTTTGTCCTTCTTTACAGGTCAGAACTATTTTCTGAGTGAAACAAGACTTGGTGCTAAGATAGCGGATGAAATACGTCAACAAATTCATGTTCTCGGAGAATATGTACAACATGGTTTAACTGAAACAGACATTCAAATTTTCAAAGTGAAAGAAGAATTACAAGATTTAGAAAACGGTTTACAGGAAAAGATAAGAAACTTAGAAAATGTATGAAAAAAAAAAAAACAACATTTGTAACCATAAAATACCCAACACACTCAAAAAAGCGTAATTGATATATGCTAGAAAAGTCAATCCATCTTATGGAATATTATATGTCATAACTGGAAAAGAATATAGTCATAGAATTAAACAATTGGTAGATTGTATTCCGTTTCTTTACATGATATACTTTTTGACTTAACGACTTATTTCCATGTAATACGTATGAGTTTATAAGACTTGATTTGTAAGTAGTGGAACAAAAAATCCTTACTATTATAGAACATTTGAGTTTATTCCTAGAGTTTGGTGGCGTTCATGTTTTATTGCTGTATAGTAAGCGTTTTGTATAGTTATATTCACTGATGTCTGCAAATTAACTTCGTATACCCCAATTGCCATGTAGCTAATTTATATTGTGTTACGTAGGTCAATCATTCTGGTGAACATACATGACACTAGCACTTCTTTTTCTTTATGGCTGCTGATAATTGTATAATTTTCTTCACATAAGTGTATAATGATAACTTACCGGTCGACTATTTATTTGTTTATTATGTTCAATTTTTGACGACTAATATCCTTGGGATTGGAAATTTTCATGAACATTGTGGCAATTTGGACTTTAGCGGCAAGTTTTTTTTTCGGTCGAGGAAGCCGCGAACTACAAACCTTCGACATGAAAACTGGCCATTCTTGTCAATTTCTGGTCAAGCTGTTAACTTGTTTACTTTACGGAAAGCTAGTACAGGTGGCTCGGGAAAGATCTTGGATAGTTTAGGATGTTTTTCGATTTCTTTCTAATTTTCGCGGATTAGGTGTGATAGGTTGTCAAATTTGGGATGGTAAGTCAACACAAAAGGCACCCTCTTGTCGACCTTTTTGTCTTTATATTGTGAAAGTTCATCTCGGCTGATGTTGTTAGCACGAATGAAACATTTATCGGATTAGCTCCACCAACGATACTGCAAAAAGACGGCTGCAAGAACTTCGCGGTCACCTCAAACATCGAGGCTACAAAAGAAAAGACATTGATAAAGGTTTTTCTCGTGCTAACAACATCAAACGAGATGAACTTTTACAATATAAAGACAAAAATTGAAAACAACGTTCAAACCTATGATTGCGTTGGATAAAAACCGCAACTTTTATACGTGTGCATGCAAAACAAATTTTATATATGTATAAAGAAATTTGTTTTGCATGCACACGCATAAAAATTGCGGTTTTTATCCAACGCAATCATAGGTTTGAACGTTGTTTTCAATTTAGTCTTGTTATATATAGATATATATATATAACTACTTATCGAATATTCCGTTTCAAACGGTATTGACTTTTTGTCTATTTATAATTTATTTTGGTTGCTATATATGAAATAATGGCATTTTTGTTTTTTGATACTGACTTTATCAGCAATAATATCAAGCGAGCCCGCTAGGGCGGACTGATTTTCGAGCAGATGAAATCAGTATAAAAAATGCCATTATTCCGTTTATCGGCTACATGTCATAACTGTATATTGTGGTTGAAAATGTGAAGTTAACTGAAATAATTAGTAAATCTACTTTATTGTTATGAGCCAACATAGACATCTTAATTCCACTTTACGTTAAACATGTTAAAGTTTTACTGATTGACTTGATTATCTCCTTACTGTTATAGTAATATTTCAAATACAGCTTCAAGTAAAATGTTTTTTATTCAATATTTTTTTCCAGAAAACTAAGGAACACGATGAACAAATAGGTGAGTATCACCAATTGTTCAGTTATATGATAAACATTTTCATAGGGTATTGAATATCTTTCTTTAGGTCACATTTGCTGATTTTGAACTGCTTTAAGGAAGTAGTTCTGCAATTAATGATATTTTGGATAAGTGTCGTCAGATTTAAATAAACAATACAATAAGATGTCCCAATATTGTCATTAATTGCATACGCAAGTCAGTGTTAACGAAAGGACCAGCAATATTCTTTTGCTGTTTAACATGAAAACTATAACATATGTGTTTTTGATTCTAGATAATCTCAACAAAACATCAAAATTAAGTACCTAAAGGTAACTTAACGCTGACATTATTTGGACACGTCAGTTTTGTTCTAACTTATTCCCTTCAGAGTTAAGGTTAACAGATGTGAAGGTTTTTTAAAACGAAAAATCAATATTATTTGTTTAAATTCAGAAATTCAATGTTGATGCTTTATCTTAGGTTTTTAATTTTTTTCAACGGATTCATGACTTTGCTATACCTTATACACGATAGTAAAACTTTGTCAATGTTGACACATGTAGCACAGGTGCTGCTAACCCTTTCCGTGTTTGTGTTGTGCGGTTTTTAGTTTTCTATGTAGTGTTTGTAGAGTGTTGTTTTTCTTCTTTTCGTCGGTTTTCGTTTGCAAGCCATTACGTTGACATTTAGTCTTATGAGTTGGAATATATATTTGGAAAATTACGCCATTTTCAAATATAAATTCAATATTTTGTATAGAACAATAAAATATTGAAAATCTAACCAATGAGATACCTTCAAGGGAACTTAATATAATACGCATTGGTTAAGTAGAGTAAGCTTACAGATGTTTATATTTCGTAAATCCATTTAGAGTTTACAAAAAAGAAGAATAAATATACCTGAGGTAATCGCATAACACCAAAAAATGCGCGATGGAGGATGTGTTTACTAGGGTAAGCTTCTCCTGCATGCTATAAACCTGACTTATGTATATGTCATTTCAGTGTGGATTACAAAAGTTAAGCAATGCAATTCACTAATAAAATCAATTTAAAAGAAGTTTTACATTCTGAAGACTTACTTGGTGGCTGGGTTAAATAATAGTAACTATATCTGTCATTTTATCGCACTGAATTCCATGTTTTAAATCGAAAAGTTTTACATACCTTTCAAAATACGTATAAATATATATTTGGCTGACTAATTAGCTAGTGTTTAATGGTAAAAGAGAAAGTGGTGAAATTTGAGCAATGTAAAGTAACAAATAGTTTCATTTATATATGTATTAGTGGTCCGACAGAAAAGAAAAAAAATACCAAACAAAAAACACTGAAACACATAAACAGAAAAAAACACAATTAAAACATATAAAGAACGATATATTAAAACACCAGATAAAATCTTATCCAAGACAGGTGCTAAAATAGTATATAGCTTCCTGATATAGTATAGTAAGCAAAATCGTTTTGATTTGTGTATTGCAACTTGAATAACTGAGTTATTTTTAGGTATTATGTGGGAAGAAATCAGGAAGAAACGAGTCGAAGATCGTTATTCAAAACATTTTGGAGGTATGCATATTAACAGTTTACATGGTTTCTATTGTCAATTATCATGCAATCTCATCCGTTTGGAACATATACACTGCAAAGGCCCACGAATCTTAAAAATCAATGTTTTCTTGAATTTGTATGACTTAACAGTCTTTAATCTGACTGAAAAAGTCTGAATGCGTATATCATGCATTGTCTGCATGTATTCTGTATTAAACATGAATGATTTTTAAATGGTTATTTTTATATGTCAAGACAAATTAGCGAAACCCAATTAGGACAGTCTTTTGAGTATTATTTCTATTTTAATTGAAGAATTGAATAAAATTTATCGGTATTTGTAGTAACAATGATCATACAATGCATATGCAAATTTGCTGGTTATAACCCCTTTCTTTGTAAACCTTAACTTCTGACCCTTTGAAATACTACTTCTTCATTTCACTAACAATAGTTTTTTCTGCATACGTCTATTTCTTATAATGTAACTATTTTTTACTTATAATTTAAACTCTGATTATAACCTTATCAATCAATGTTTACATCATAAGTAATACCTATTCTAATTCATATCTGCATTACCATTACATTCAAATTACGATTATTTAAATTATTTCATGATGTTTTTTGTCAATTTTGAAAAGTTTCAAAAATAATGAATACCTACCTTTTCAAATGAAAAAAGAACAGAGTTGCTTCTTATGAAAATTGGATGAAAAACAAATACAACTTTGAGTTGAAAAATGTATTGGAACTGTTACAGTGATTTTATACAAAAAAGAAGGTTTTACAACAAGTTTTTTCCGATAACCTTCACTTCAAAAGTCTAAAAGTCTGAAAAGACCAGTTTTTGTCTTAATTTGCATGAACTTTTACTCGACATTCTCCAAAAGTATGACTTGTGTCTTAATTTTTCTTGACAAATTCTCATTTATATTAAATTTGTATGAAATTTACTCGACATATTCTCGACATTCTGAATATGGTCTTAAAATTTCTTGACAAATTCTTGACATTTGAATACTGTCTTGAAATTTCTCGACATATTCTCGACATTCTTACTTTTTCTCAGTATGGCTTGACATATTCTGAACATTTTGAATCGTGTCTTAAATTTACTTGACAGTTCCGAGTTTTACAAATCATGACCAATATTCATGATATAACTTTAATCTTTATTTCTCTTTATATGATATACTGTTGTTTCAAGTTACACTTCTCTACAACAAAAATAAAAGTTGGGCATGTAAAATAATTGAAAATTTGGGTATATAAATATTTTTACAAATGCAAATATGGCTATGAAATCTAAAGTATAAAATAATTCAAATGTGGGTGTGTTGACATAAAACAATTTCAATGTGGGTTTTTAAATAATTACAAATTTTGATTCCTAAATCTTATAAATTAAATGATTCAAACCAATCATACTGTAGACATATTTCATTCTACATTCATAATATTCAATGTTGATATGGTAAATAATTATTATACCAAAATGTGGTTTATATAAATAGCAAATTATGATGATATACAAATCATTCATTTAACAGAAGAAAAAATTGTGTAATGTCATCTGTTGGAATATATTAAGTATTACACATGGACAGGATGTTCCCCATAAAATTAAGGTATTCCACACCCCAGAGTACACGCAACTGTCAAATAGAAGTTATTGCTTTACCTGTAATCAGCCATACAACTTATCAATTGACCAACCATGCCACTACAATTTAAAAAGTTTGTTGATAGATGAAAATGAAAATCATCATTTTGATAAAAACAATTGAATTGAAATGGATTTTCTTCATCAAAATTATGAAGTTAATTATTTTAACATAAAAACAAATTGAATAATTCCCAAAGATTAAAAGAAAATTATTATCTACTCCAGGAATAATAAAAAAAATGTATTTATAATGGGTCCCATCAATGATTTCTATAGAAATCATCGGTCTTATGAAATGGTTCTCAAACGTTACAGACATGCATAATATAGATCTAAACATTTTTTTCTTTTCAGGAAGGAGTTATCACAAATATTTATTTTTGGTAAAAAAAATATTAAATTCAACACTCAAATTTGAATAAAAATGTTTTTGGGTTGTTCTAAAAAATGAATAAGGTTTTTGAATCAAGATGGGAACAAATTTTTTGATCTAAACGAAAGCCCCCCCCCCCCCCCCCCCTCTTTTTTTAGCAACACAAACCCAAAAGATGAATTGTGGGGTCCAAAAGAGATACAAGACACCTATTTTAGTAAAGCAAATTTGACTGGCAGTTTTGCGAACGGCAACAATCTAAATGCTGTTTGTCAATACCTTCGACTTATATTCCAAGTGAAAACAATTACTTAAATGTTTAATAAAAATAAATCAAAATTAAACTACATCATTGTCATGGGGGATTATTCAGGGTATTCCAACTTAGTTGCACCAAAAGGGTATCTTACTATACCAAATTAATCCTTGATTCTTCAAAGTTTAGTTTAGCCATAATAAAAAGGAGTATATAACAGCAATAGAATGTCATAAACAGTGCAGAATAAGTCTGTTCACATTTCAGGCGAAATTTATACTGTTGAGATAGTGTCAAGACATATTTAAGACTGTCAAGAATGTGTCGAGACATATTCAGACATTATTTAGAATGTCAAGAATATGTCGAGACATATTCAGACATTATTAAGAATGTCAAGAATATGTCAAGACAGATCGAGACAAATTTAAGACAGTCAAGAATTGGTCGAGACTAATCCAGACTCTTATCAAAATAAAAATAAAACAGTAAAGACTTTAAGATTAGCTCTTCCAACATAAATTTATTACACTTAAGACACATGTAGACAAATTAAGAGTGCTAAGAATAACATGAATAATGCAGACAAAACATTGCAATTTCAAAATTGTATGACTTTGTAGATATATGTTAATATTTCAATATTAGATATTCTGTGCTCTACATTTATATAACCCGGACGACATTTCTATGGTAGAGCAATATCCTACATCAATTTGAATTCATATAACTGGCATTTTAGTTTACCTCCACTCTTAAAGTAGGGTTATATTGCAAGTAGCTTGACCGTCCGACAGTTAGAATGTTCTACCGCCTGTTTGTCCAACAAATATTATCCATCTATCTAGTATAATAATCTGATGCAAACTAATAATTTAATCATTTATCAACCTCAGTGGTGTACCGATAGTGTGGTACACTCGTCTATCGGAAGATTGGTAATCTTGAATTATGTGGCAACCACACAGTGCCGATTATGGCCCCCGTTTGAGACCAGACAGCGCTAAGACACGAAAAGTGAAAAAGTCGGAACACTATCCTCAATGATGTGGAATGTCCTATCATTGTCTGAGCGCAGTCGTATACGATTGTAACATATTCATAGAGATTGGAATGGTCCGAAGAGCTCGGCCAAGCGCCCTCGACAGTAAGGTGCGTCCGGTAACATCCTTGGAAACTCATCCAATTTCGGATTACAATCGTGACTATGTCGCGACAGATTCTGCTGTATCGAATTAAATAACAACAATGTTCTTGAAACAGGCATGATCTGGAGAAAATTGTCATTGCTGTTTGCTGCCGATTGAGTCAAGATAGCATCCATATCTAGTCGAATGCGAACCGTCTTTACCGAAACCATTCAACAACAAATGGAAGTTTTTAACGACCTTGACTGGCTATACAGCCCTTACACGGTCGGATCAGTCCCGGTATTTATACGGAATTCGACCATGATACCCACGTCAGAGTCCCGACGATAAATGAACACAATACGACTGAGTCTTGACAAAGCCGTTTGCAATGCGGTACATCAAACTGTGTAATGATTATGTTCCGACAGTGCCTGATGATCCCGAATATGGCGACAGTTTTCTAACGGATATCTTTGCTTAACGTCGGTTCAGTGTCTGCTCACTGTCTGATCTTTGTCGTATCCCATTCGGTAGAATCAGGAAGATGTCAGGACAGATTCTGTCGTTTTTTACTATGTGAAAATTACAAATCGGATTAGAATCGGATTGAGAACGGGATAATCCGGACAAATTCGGCTGGAAAGGGATGAATTTGGACGCTTCATAAACAATATCTGATATCAATAGAAAAGGGGAGACGGTATCATATTGACAGAAGTGAAAGAAAGTGTTCTATATGCCAGAATGGAGATATAGGAGACGAATATCACTGTATTTTTGTTTGCCTAGCTTTAGAAGATGAATGGAAAATATTGATACCAAACGAACTAATAAGCAGACATAATTTTTTTTTAAATTCAAGACACTGTCTAACTCAAAAAAACCCAAAGACACTCAAACAGCTTATCAACAGTTAAATATCTCCTTCTTCTCAACTATAATTTCAACATATTAAAAACTAAAACTATTTCTTTAAACATGTTTATCTATCTGTTTTGTATTCTTATATTTTTATTTATTTAACTATTTTTATTTATGTATTTGTTTATTTTTTTTAAAATATATATACCTTTTATGTAATCACATCTAATATTTTATAGACATATTTTGAACTTCTGTGTAACCTTTGTACTTGTATGGTTTAATGAGAAATAAACTATCTATCTATCAGACTTTTGACAAAATTTAATCGGGAATGGTCCTGTCAAGAAAGTAACTCACGTCATGAAGCAGACAGATTTTTGTATCAAGGATACAGGAAGATTACTAAGTAATAATAAGCCCAATTTGCATCTTTGTCATTTAAGGTATAAATTATTATATTTTTAATTATAATAATTCTGAAAAACGGAGAAAAGAACATTATCTGAAAAATTTGAAGATAGCCTTCTCTTTATTGCATTAAAGAGGACATCATGAATAAAATTCCTAACAGCTAAGTCAACATCGGATACGTTTCAGTATCTAAAGCTCTTTTGAACAGAAAATATCCTTGGAACTAGTTTTCTTTTTTACCATTTGGTTAAACGATTAATTTATTGTACAACCCAATGTCACAAAGACAAAAATGAAGGATATTTCAAATGTTATTAAATACTAATAATGAAAGGGATTTTTTGTTAAATGTAAAATGTAAAAAACCTGAAGGCCTTTGTAATAAGCATGATAAGAGTCAAAATAATGTAACTGTAAAATTAGTGTTACATTAGTTATGTATGTGGACTTTGTCCTCTTTCACAGGTAAAACCTGTCTTATATAATCCTGGATCCCCTCTCCCCCCAAAAAAATTATTCCGCAAATAGGATGTTTAACTATTTTTAAATTATAATATACATGTAATGCAATATGCTAAAAATATGAAATACATTTCATCTTTTTGTAGGTTCGACAGTCAGGGCAGAAGATAATGAAATACGAATAGTACTTATTGGACGAACAGGACACGGGAAAAGTGCAACAGGAAATAGTCTTTTGGGTCGCAATCGTTTTCTATCAAAACCTAGTGGTTCTTCAGTAACGGAACATTGTGAACTCGGAGATACTAAACGGGAAGGGAAAAACATAGTTATAGTTGATACACCCGGTTTATTTGATACGAAAACGACGAATGAAACTGTTACTAAGGAGATAACAAGATGTATTGCAATGACATCACCTGGCCTTCACGCAATGGTCCTTGTTGTTAGTGTCGGTCGATTTACGCAGGAAGAAGAAGATACAGTCAAACATTATGTTGATCACTTTGGTGTAGGTGTTCTTTGCTATATGATTGTACTTTTCACTAGAAAGGATGATCTTTCGAAATCAAATATATCGATTTATCAACACGTTAAAACTGTTCCGGAGTATCTTAAAACAATACTTGGTAAGTGCGGGGATAGATTCCTTGCGTTTAACAATGAAGCGGTTGGACAATCTCAATCAGAGCAAGTTGATTCCTTTTTTAAAATGGTAGAGTCGATGTGCGAGAAAAATGGCGGATCTTGTTATACAAACGAAATGTACGAAGAAGTAGAAGATGCACTACAAAAGAGGATGCGAGATGATAAGGAGGCAAAGGAAGAGCAAATGAAAGAAGAAACAGAAGCAAAAACAAAACAAATACAAGATAAATACGCGAAAAAACTAGAGAAAGAAAAAGAAATTGTTCTTGAATTAAAAAATGCCCTAGAATCGAAGAATATAGAATCGGAGATAGACAAAAAAAATCTACAAAAACAACTCGAAGAAGCAAACAAAAAACTTAAATCAGAGTGTAAGAATAAGGAAAAAGAATTACTGGAGCAAATAAAGAAAACTGAAAACAAATTTAAACCAAGAATGACCGAAAATGCGTTGAGAAGGAATCAAAGAAATTATTTTGAAAACGAAGCACCATTTTGTCAGATATTATGAAACGATTAGTTTCTTTTGACAAATTGTTTGGTTTGTAAAAAGATGAGTTTAGAACAGAATGAAAGTTTAATTCAAAATTAAAAAGAATAATGTGAAATTATTATACCTGCTTTGTTATCTTTTATTTCGTTTCGACCAACATACAATGTCGAAATATTAAAACATGTGAATATAATAGAATGATATATTTATATAAAAACGTGTACAAAACAAAAAAACAAAAAAAAACATAAAAAAACATTAAACGTAATCTAAAAATATTTCGGTTAACATATATCCTTCATCAGCAGGATTATGATGTAAAATGAATCATATCAATCTATTGTTATTTACCTATAACGATCTTGAACTTATACGGTTAAAACCGAACACAGCAGCGTTTGTACAATTCTAAATTTTAAAAATGACGTAGGTAAGGTATCTACAGTAGAGACTGAAAAGACTAACTAAAATTTCAATTGAATAGCACATTGAGATTTAACCTGGTATAATTGTAGAATTTTATAATTGACATAGGTAAAGAAATAGCAACAGCAATGTTCAATCTACAAATTTGAGAAAGCAAATGTTTGTTCTTCCCTCGACGGAATTCGAATTCATGCTATTAGGATATCATGACAACATCGCATGCACTGTGTCCATCGCTCAAGACAAATCGACCACCTAGACTGCCTTCGTGGCCTAGTGTTACCTTTTTCTCGTCAGTAGAATCAAGAGTTGTAACACAGTTCAAATTGTGGTTGAAGTTTGCAACGCCCTATTGAGCAGAGATATAAAGGATGATGCTATATAATTAGTTTTTCTTAATTCTTTCATAAAGCACATCAGGTTCTAAAGTATGGAGCTGGTGGATCCAAAAGTTTTCTCTATTTGTCTCATTTTAGTGTCCCACTCAGTGTTCACTTCTATTATTTGGAAAGTATCATTATAAAAATGATGTTTTTTTACCAAATATGTTTGTGAGGGGACAGTTTTTGTTGGTCTTGTTACATGATTGATGGTTATTTAGCCGATTATTAAATTTAAAAAATCATTTAAATTAAACAATTTACACCTTTTTTGAATTGGGATGGCGTCGTATAACTTAGTCGGCGAAAATCAATTAAAATTATAATCCCAAAGGTTTCATCTCACAAAGAATAGTCTCATAAGAAATGCGGGTATATTTATTGATACAAAAATATACCAAACGAAATGAAACAAAGCTAAACAAATAAAAGGATTAGTATTAGAGATACTAATTTACTATCTTCAACAATGGAAACATTTTGTTAACAATATGTCTAGCGCAGTGTCCAAAGTTAACAAACTTGGAAATGGAATTAGCTTAAAGTTTAAGATCTTTTAAAATGTACCAAATTAATGAATACTAAAATACGTAAAGGACACAAATATTCATAACCGCTGATTGGCATATGAACATGAGTAGGACTTTTTTCTACGTTTTTCTAAGCATTAAATGTCTCGTTTAAATCTCAATGTAGTATATAAGCAAAAGGTATCTGGAAAGTAACAACAAATTACAAAGCACGTATAACCAGCATGATAGAAAATAACGACAAATCTCACAGGGCTGTATTACAAGCACGCTATCAAATAAAAACAAATCTCCCTAAGCTGTATAACCAGTGTGATAGAAAATAACAACAAATCTCCCAAAGCCTCTTTAGTAGAGTGGTCAAGAAAAGCTTGACTACATTAGATGGGACCTATATAAAACGAACAGGTAATGTGTATAAAATGATACATGACAAAATCAATGAAACGGCAGTTGTAATCTGTGGCAAGAACCTTACAGAATGTTTCATAAAACTTTCACTTCCTATATTCATTCGTTACCATTTCCTGCTTGAAATCATTACAGATGTTAAATCCAATGACGATTGTATAATAATATCGGAAGACACACAGGAAGACTATTTCGGAAGATTGTTAAGTGACTTACGGCATTGTGTTACTACAAGTACAATACATAATGCACAATAATATATCAGTCATTTATTGATAGATTACTCGCCTATTTTTAAAAAAAAGTGTTGAAGCTAAACAAATATTAAGGATTCTTGATAACAGAAGTCATCATGGATATACAACACCTTTAATGGATTCAGCATCAGGTGGTTTCTACGATTTCGTTCAATTTCTAACTGTTACTATTCAATGTAATGTGAATAGGGCTGCCGTAGAAGGTAAATCACCTTTATTTAAAGCATCTGAAAGAGGACATTCAGAAGTAGTTAATTTCTTATTAAAGAACAATGCTGATGTATCCAAACATGATAGTTATAGAAGGTCTCCACTGTACGTGGCATGTGAAAGAGGACACAGAGAGACAGCGGAACTGTTACTGTTGAACAATTCTGATATCTCTCAGTTTAACAATAATCAATATTGTATGTTGCATGTAAAAGAGGACATTTTGATACAGTAAAACTATTACTAAATTACAATGCTGATGTTTTTCAATGTAACAGTTATCGAAAGTCCCCATTGTTTGTTGCCTTTAACGAAAGACATACTGATATCGTTAATCTGTTACTACGTATACAGTACAAGGCTGATGTATTCCTATATGATAGAAGTAGGAGGTCTCCTCTATTTGTAGCATGTGAAGTAGGACAAACAAACACAGTAAATCTGTTATTGTTGAACAATGCAGATATCTCTCAGTCAGTGTAACAGGTATGGGGAGTCTCCGTTGTATGTGGCATGTGAAGTAGGACACGTAGAGACAGTAGAACTGTTACTCCAAAACATTGTTGATGTCAAAATGTGTAATAAAAAAGGTCAGACACCGAATGATATTTCCTGCGAATCACCTTGCACCAAAATTGTAAATCTATCGAAAGCATCACAGTAAAGTAGTTGTTTCATGAATTTGAGGTTTATGAGAACTTAGATCACTGTACAAAGACCTAATATGTAGATACTAATACTCCTTTTTTCACATATGAGTGTACTGGAATCACGATCCTGATAAAATGAATATGAAAAACATGCAGGGAATATATGCAATTGGTCAGTTTATATAAGAAGATGTGATATGAGTCCAAATGAGACAACTCTCCATCCAAGTCACAATTTGTAAAAGTAAACCATTATAGGTCAAAGTTCGGTCTTCAACACGGAACCTTGGCTCACACCGAATAGCAAGCTATAAAGAGCTCAAAAAATGACTAGTGTAAAACCATTCAAACGGGAAACCCAACGGTCTAATCTATATAAAAAACGAGAAACGAGAAACACTAATGAACTACATCAACAAAGGACAACCACTGAACATCAGGTTCCTGTGTATGGAAAGCATGTAGTTGGTCAGTTTTTCCATGGAATGGATATGATAAGTTAGTAGGTTTGTAAGTCTCAGAGATGCGATAGGTATACTTAAGTGCGATGCTCAAGATGAAGTGTGATGGTCCTATCGCTGTTGTGTGACGGCCTGCATGTCAAGTGATTCTAGGTTCATATCTACTATCTAGTTATTATATGAAATTGCATTCATTATTATTCATTAAACAATTATGGTAGAGATCCCTTTCCAACAAACTTTCATTGTCAATGTATAGATGCTTATCAAGATATGACACAGACGTAGCTGTATATGTTGTATCCTTTTTTTACGCTGAGATAAATGCGGTCACCATAATTATCATATTTTGCACCTCTGTTTCCACCCGCATCAGGAACGTTCGATGCCTAAAACCCGAAATCTTTATGCACGAAATAGGAACCCCAGAAAGAGTCATACTATCAAAAGTACAAAGACAAATAAAGGGAATCATGTAAAGTGAATAAAATGAACCATAAAGTCAGCACCTATTCATGCTATAATATATCTCTCAGTCCCATTGTGTATTGTTTTGTAGACACCGAATACTAGGTCTTGGTACGTTCCAATGTACCTTTCGAGACAAAAGACATCATTATTTATAAGCACAGACATCGGTTTACAAAGTTTGAGTAGCAGCTACAAGCTCTTGAATATCGTACGAGTTAAGAAATGGGTACGTCATATACGGTTGATATTCTAAATGATGCTACCAAGGTGAGAAAAAATTATAAATTCAAAATTTAATATCGTTTAATGCGTACTTTGTTAATGTTTCTAGCCGGTTCATTGTTGTACGATCTCTACATATCTATATACAAAATTCAAAAATTTTATGTAAGATTAGAAGGAACAAAAAAATAATAAAGGAACAGGTAAATAAAATTGCAGTTCTTTCATACTACCTATATTACTGTCAATGTAATAACTTTGATGCAGTTTGTTAAAGTGGTTCAGCAAATGGCAAATAGATCCTATTTTGTTCGAGCAAGTTGCTCTATTTCGCATAGTAAAATAACAAAAATACCGAACCCCGAGGAAAAATTCTAAACGGAAAGTCCCTAAACAAATGACGAAATCTAAAGTTCAAACACATCGAATGGATAACAAATGTCATATTCCTGACTTGGTACAGGCATTTTCGTATTTAGAAAATGGTGGATTAAACCTGGTTTTATAGCTAGCTAAATCTCTCACTTGTATGATAATGTTCTTGTTACTTGATATTGTATTTTGTGTGTCTTTCAACCAAGAACGTCTTACTCTTTTTAATTAACAATGAGTTGCTATTCATAAAACGGTTTACGGTTAAATAGGGTTCGCCTCAAAGTTTTCAAAGAATTCCGCAGAATTCTTCTTCAATTTACATCAAGGTAATCAGTAACATAGTTCTTTTTTTTTTAAGTATGGACTTTTTCATCGAATACATGCATTTAATCACATAATCCATCCTTCTTCCACCTGACGATAAAAAGTAAAGTTTTACGCCACACTGAACCAAAATATTTGTGCAAGTCAGTGCAGTATGTACACATCTGTTTCTAACCAAGTTATATATCTTTATTTATGAATAAAATGCTCCGCTGGGCGCAGCTTGATACGACCGCAGAGGTCGAACACTGAACAGTTGGGGCAAGTATGGAAACAACATTCCATCTTGATACATCTATGAATTTGGATTGTGATTAAATATTTGACACAGCATAGGTTTCTGACACAGAATGAATGTGGTCTAAGAACTTAATTTTTTTTATTTTACCTATTATGGTCCA